ATTGAAAAATATTGGCTTTTAAGGATTTTATCTCTATTTCTACGAAGGAGTATTTTTTCTCCCTCAAAATGACACACAATTCTGACTTTTTTACCCTTTACTTAACATGTGTAAAATTACGCAAATTTCGATACCTCATGCGATAGCGTAGCTCAAAAAAATTTTTTGACGGGACACCCTAATGTACATATGGATGCATGTGGTGTGAAAACCGTACGGTATGTAGTAGTGTAGTGTGCAAAGCTATTTTGTTCGTCACTCACATTACTCAGCTCTTCAGAAAGCAATAATTCAATTCACTCACATTGTCAATGATTTATTGAAACACATAAACAACTGCTAAACTTCCGTAAAAATCCGACTATTCAGTGACTAAAGTGTTCCCACAAAAGAGAAAAAATGAAGAAAAATTGCCAAGTCGTCGGAATTACAACTAAAAGCCCTCAGAAGTGCTTGGTGCAAAAGCCGAATGCCGACACAATTTTCACTTCGGCCTTAGCCACCGTCCACAATGGTCACTTTCATTGCATTTGTTCATCGCGCTGTCAATACACTTTATTTTTCCGTTTTTTATTGCCTCCTTGTGTGTTTATGTGTGAGTGTGCATATGCGTATATGGATGTATGTATGTACATATATACTTAGAAGCACAAAAACAAAAAAACACCCCACCAACAAAAGGTGTATGTTGTATGGTCAAGGGGGTGAACATTCATCGGGCTCGATTACCTTCGCGCATCGTTTCACGTCCGTTTGACTGGCCATATTGCGCTGAATGGCCTCGGCTGCAGGTGCTCTCCTCTCACCGACTGGCAGAAATACATACCTCGATAGTGTCGAATAATGGAGTCGGAAGTGCGGAAAACTATACGGAGATACATACATACATACATATGCACATATTTATGTTGAAGTGGTGCTTACGTAATAAATGATGATAATTCCGAGTGCTCTCACTTGATGTCCCATTGTATTTGGGATTCTAATTTATATGAATTGGCTGTAAATGACATGAAATCCTGTTCCTCTTCCCATAAAAAATGTCATTTAATCTTCGAGTTCTAAATGCTACCAATTGCAAATGGTATGTTTATATGTATCTACATTTGTATACCAGACACAATCACATTATTCGGATTAAAAATTTATTTCAATTGATTTTAGTTGTGTTTTTAATTTTTATTAGGATCTTACTTGTACATATCGACACCCGAGTGGAAGAACAACCTATCTTGGCAGCCAGTTCGAAAGCGCCCTATCCCAGAAAACTTTTCAAGAACGCCCTACTTCAGAATTTTATTGAAGAACACCCTACGTCAGAATTCGGTTCAAAAACGCCCCATCTCAGCTTGAATGTGAAATTGAAAATGTGCTGAGCTAGGGCGATTTCGAACTGGCTGCTGATATAGTTCGATCTTCCACTCATATGTCGATATGCAGTATTTGCAGGTATTCCTCCAAAACTATAAGATTATAGATTGACTTTTTAATTCTATAAAATTTTCGAATAAAATCAGTCTCAGCGGCTACAGCGGCCAAAAGTAATAAAAACGGATTAGCGAATTATAAAAAATCAATTACTCTGATTCATAGAAAAATGTACAACTAACCCAAACCAAAAAGAACTTTTAATAAAAATGCATATTTACAGTCATGGGACAGCTTAAAGTAAATACATACATATGTATATTCCAAATAATAAATTTGTAAGAAAAAAGTTGGATTTGTCGCAAGTAATCCAAATTAATCTTTCAACTTGTGCGGATTATAATAAGCCAATATGATTGGCGAGCAATTTTTTAATATGTGTGAGGTCAAGCAATGCTTTAAGTTTTTATATACAAATCTACCAAATTCTGAGGTAGGGTGTTTTTCAATCAAATTCTGAAGTAAGGCGTTCTTGAAAAGTTTTCTGAGATAGAACGATGTTGAAAAATTTGTTGAGATAGGGTGTTTTCTAACTGGCTGCCGAGAGGAAGAACGACCTCCACTCAGCCATCGAAATGGAAATGCAATAAGGTGTAAATATTAATCAGATTCAGCATTCAACCAAAAGTGGACGAGATCCGTTTTCGATGGCAAAAGTCCTCTTTGCCTTAGCTCACCTTTTGTTGTATACTTATGTAATTAAACATTTTTAGTAAGTCACGGCTTTTTTTTGCAGCAACAATGTGAGATAGGGCCTTTCTATGTACACACATACATATATTGAGGTAACGATATGAATACATTCCTAAAAATGTATGTAGAATTATAAACTAAATCTTCCTTCTTCTTGCTTTTCTTATTATGTACATGACGAATTATTAATTAATTAAACAGAAAAAGATGGAGATGAATTAAAATATTTAGCTAAGCACTCCACATCCATAATATAGAGAATACATCATACATAGTTTAAATATTTTAAATCAACTTCATCTTTTTTTGTTTAATTAATAAATAATTTATTTGTGTGGTTTCTGTTATAGATCGAACTGTAGATTTTAAATGAAAATTCCTAAACATAAATCGCAAACAATATCATTGTGAATTTTGTACTTATTATTATGACCGTGAGTGTATATCTGTGAACATTTGACTAAACAAATTAGGTCTATCTTTCACGGACAAACTAAATGGCATATGCGACAGAGCTTTTTCACAATCAGAGCAATAAATTTTATTTAAAAGAAAGCATTCAGTCACACTTAAAACTTTGTGAATAGCGATAAAATAATTTAACATTTCTTTCGAATTATAACATTTTTCCCTTTTTACGGTAAAATATGTTTTGCTCTGCTTATAAAATATGTTATGCTTTTTGCTTTGTCCGTGAAAGACAGTTTTAAGTTTTTTTTTTTGTCAAATCTAGACAGATATGTTTGTATGTATTTACATTGCACCAATAGTGTAGAATAGTGCAGTGCAGAATACACACTCACAGTTAGTGCAAGGAAACCCTTCTTCGAACGCTTTATCTTATAACTAGAGTTCTCTAGTGTTTTTGCAAACTTAATTGTATGTTACTAGCGCAGAATAGTTTTTAGTTACTCGGTCCTACTGTTATGGGCTTTCTGCACTTCTGTGTGACTTTTCTAGAAACATCAACTAAACCATTTTATAAGAAATTTTTATTCAAAAATTTTTACGTAAAAATATTACGCCATAGAAAGAATCGTTAGCTCATAATTTGTCACATGCTGTCGATGACACTTTAATTGCAAACACTTGAAAATTTTCTAGCAAAAGTGGTTGTTTCATTGCTCATAATAGCTGCAGCCGAAATCGAAATATTTAACTCTGTAAAGGCTTATTTCAAATAACGTCGTAAAATAAGTGAATCTTTCAGTATTTGCGCACAACGGCACGAGTTGACCAGCTATACAGGTTTTTGTATAAAAAGCTTTCTCTGCTCTGCGTTTTTTTTTTTCAGAGCGAATCAATCTCATACGAAATAATCTAAGTACATACGTATTTCACTTACAAAAATATACAACATTTATAAATAAAATAAAATCTTACGCCGGATTTGAATGACAAATGGTTTTTATGAGAAGCTTTTTCAAGATAGAAGTACACTCAGAACAAGAAATCGAACCGGGATCTCACCAGGCGGCACCCTGCTACATCGACTGGTAAAGCTCGTAGCTGTATGTATGTGTAAGTACTTACACTACCCTGGAAAAAATCGTATTACTTCAGAAGTCTGGTATTGAATTCCTGAAAATCAATATGTTTCGATCGGAAAACTCTGGCTACCTTCACTAGACTTCCAATAACAATACCCAATTGTTTATTTAACCATTTTTTAGTACAAACGATTTTTTATTTATCCCCGATTGCGTCGTCTGGGGGTTTTGGCGGATCTATAAAATATAGTTACTATGAAATAATGGTCAAATAAATAATTGGGTATTATCATTGGCAACCTCCTGAAGAGGAAACGAGTTTTCCGATCGAAAAATATTGATTCTCAAGAATTCTATGCCATTTCTACGAAAGGTGGTTTCTTCCCATATATTTTATTTGTATTTTACATACATACATGAAAAACTGTGAGCGCTTTGAGCGACTTGTAAATAATTTTGATTTCAAAATAAAAATATACTAGTGGACCCGAATGGCCTTAAAACCCCCAAAACTTAATTTCAATAACTTAAAAAATATTCCAAATGTTAGTCAGAGTTATAAGAGATCCGAGTGCCAGTGAAGAGCAGTGCGTGTTTTTAATTTCATCAAATTTCAAATCACCTTATACCGATGAAAACATTTGTTACTTAAAAAAAAATAAAACTTTACCACACATCTACAGGTAAGGTCTTTAATTTGACCTAAATTTCCTCTCAAAAGTATTCCCAAACTAAAATCTTCTTAAATCTCTTTCGTCTGATATTGTGATACACATGTCTTTCAATAAACTGATGCACTAATATGAATTTGATTGTTAGAACAAATGTCAACCGTTCTAAGTAAATGAATAATTTGAATGTATCTTTTTAAACACGTGGCAACCCTCTTCAAACATTCCAAATGGTCAAACTAAAGGTTTCTTAACATTCTTTCCTTTGACTACGGTATTTTTATATTCCATATACATTTTGTATTACCAAGTTAATTGAGTGAGACCTTTCAAACACGTGGCAATTAGTTAATTGAGTTAGACCTTTAAAACAGGTGGCAGCCCTCTTCAAAGTCTTTTCATGTTTAATCCTTGCTTACTCTCCGTCGCCTGACATGGCGATAAATATTTTAATTAACTGATGAATTAGTGGAATTTGATTTTTTAAATATGTGGCAACCCCGCTAAGTACAGTTCGGAAAGAAAAGTTTTTCAAAGCCCCTTCCATTGATACCCATATTTTATTAACACATTAAACTTTTTAAATAATTTGAATTTAACTTTTTAA